ACACAGAGAAAAGACTGGTCCGAGGTGGTCAGTTTTTCATTATGCACAAATGTGTCCCTGAAAAGCCTAAAAGAGCACCATGTTCCCTTCACCTGGTCACACTTAGATTTTCTCATTCTAGGGTATTTAAAAAACACAAGAATTTAACTGCATTTAATCCCAATTACCACAGTTTGAGAAAAACAGAGAGCTATAGATCATGGAAGTTCAGAAATAATCAACTGCATGTGGTGGACTAGTACCCTGATTTAACCTTGCTATAGATCATACTGTAAAAAGGTGGAATACATGGAGCGAGTCAGGGCTGTGCCCTGTAGGTGCCTGGGGTGTGGGATTAAGGCTGACCATGCAATACTGCATAGTCTGGGCAGGGTCCCTGACTCTTCCCACCTGGGACACATCTGTCACAACACCCAATATATAATTGTATCTACCATCATAAAATCAAATTCAGATAAAAGATGATCAGTCCCCCATAGATATATTAGGTAAGAGGATAGTGGTTTAGGACCAAAAAGGAAACATTTGTGGAATTCTCTGTATTTCCTTAGGAAGATTCCATGACTCTTCTGATGATATCTAGATTTGGCATTGCTGTTCCTAATTTATTACCTCCCAGGAAGAAACACAATCTGCTGAGTAACACTGATGCTAAAACCTTGGGAAACCAGGAGATAGTAGGACTTTGGCTCCATCAAATTGAAGTGAACTACATTAGCAAGCTTCTTGGGGAAAGCCTGGCTTTGCAGTTACAATGTTATGTTCAGTTCTTTATTATTCCCGGATTCTGAGAACTGTGGCTTGTCCTTTCAGTTTTAAAAACAAAAAGACCAGAGACAGTATTGGCCTGACCAAATATAGACACTGGTTTGTCTTTGTTGCTACTTAGAGGAAAGTGTGACAGAAGATTCTCCAAATGTAGGATTATTTAAAAGCCACTCTGGGGTTTTAAAATGCAAAGACCCCACTTGGAAGTTCAGAAATAATCAACTGCATGTGGTGGACTAGTACCCTGATTTAACCTTGCTTGCTTGAAGTATGGAGAAAAAGCAATAAATACAGAACTGCACTAGATTATGTTGCAAGTAAGGGAATTGCAAACTCAGACTTTGAAACCTGGAGAGGCTTGGAAGAAGGACTGGCAGTGCATTTTCTTCACTCCTCACATATAGGGTGTCCCCCCAAAATGTATACACACTTTGAATAATTATTAATTCCATTGGGTTACATCTGAAAAGAAATAAACATTAATTAAGCTATAACAATGTATGTGTATGCATTTTTGGGGCCACCCTATATATATATAATGCTAACACTCTACCATGGACTAGTAGTGATGCTACTAAAAATAACAATAGAGGTAACATACGTGAAAGATTCACATTTGTCTCAGTTATTTCCTGAACTTAATCTCCAATTTTTTTCATTGCCTTAATTTCAAATTTACTGCATAGATTTATTTTTGCATAGAGATTAACATGTACTTATTTATTGACTTCAAAAGCTCATACTGTAGAGGCAATACAATGTTGCTTATATTATCCCATTCTCCCAGCAGTGACATATTTGTGCTCACTACAATACGAATTGTAGAAGCAAGAGCCCTCAAACTGTGTTCACTGAGGTCGCCAGCTGAAGTTGAAAGAATTTGGACTACTATTGTCTTCACTCTCTCCTAAGCTGATGCCTACTGAGTCACCACCTAGTACTTTCCTGCATTTGTTTAGTTACTAGAGGCCCAATGCACGAAATTCGTGCAAGGGCCTTGGCCCCGGCCCCTGTCCACCACCGCTGTGGCTGGGGGCTTCTGCTGCCTCTGCCGCGGTTCCTGACCACTGAGGCTTTGTCTGGAAGGAAGGATGTCCGGAAGGACGTCCAGTCTAATTAGCATATTATGCTTTTATTATTATAGATAGCTGTGTTCCCAGCAGTTTAATATGGTGGGTGTTCATTAGATCTTTGTTGAGTGAAAAGGTAAATCAGAGGGGGAGAGAGACAGGGGAGAAAAGGTGGAGCACAAGGGATTCTTAGGGCAGTGAAACTATTCTGAATGATATATAATGGTGGATAATTGTCACTATATCTTTGTCAGAACCCATAGAATGTACAACACAAAGAGTGAATCTTGCCGAAACCGGTTTGGCTCAGTGGATAGAGCGTCGGCTTGTGGACTGAAGGGTCCCAGGTTCGATTCTGGTCAGGGGCATGTACCTGGGTTGCGGGCACATCCCCAGTAGGAGATGTGCAGGAGGCAGCTGGTCGATGTTTCTCTCTCATCGATGTTTCTAGCTCTCTATCTCTCTCCCTTCCTCTCTGTGAAAAATCAATAAAATATATTAAAAAAAAAAAGAGTGAATCTTAATGTAAATTATAGACTTTAGTTAATAATAGTGAATCAATATTGGGTTCATCATAAGTATTACACTAATATAGGAGATAAATAATTGGGGGGACTGTGCAGGGAAGGAGGAGAAAGAACATGTAGGAACTCTATACTTCCCAATCAACTTTTCTGTAAACCTAAAACTACTCTAAGAAACATAAAGCCTATTAATCTAAACAACAAGAAAATATAAATAACTTAAGTCAGATGGTCTTAGCATGTTGTGTATTGTAAGAAAACAGAAAACCAATGTAACTAGCATAGGCAAAGAGGTAAATGTGTTAATGTGTTGGTTTGCTTACTCAAGCCAAGGGAAAGCATGAGGGGAAACTGGAACCAGGAACTTAAATGCTCTTTTTCATTTTTATAATGATCTAGATAGACTTTCTTCATAATGCCCAAATGACAGTGGCCTATAACTCCCAGGTCCACAACCTCCCAGACTTGCCACATTGGGAAGGGGCACTCTCTTACTTTAGTTCTTTTCTCCTTCTCCTTCTCTTCTCCTTCTCCTTTTAGCTCTTTTTAAAAAAAATATATTTTATTGATTTTTTACAGAGCGGAAGGGAGAGAGATAGAGAGTTAGAAACATCGATGAGAGAGAAACATTGATCAGCCGCCTCCTGCACACCCGCTACTGGGGATGTGCTTGCAACCAAGGTACATGCCCTTGACTGGAATCAAACCTGGGACCCTTCAGTCCGAAGGCTGATGCTCTATCCACCAAGCCAAACCGGTTAGGGCCCTTTAGCTCTTTTTAAAAAAATCCTCAAGGGATGTTGGTCAGCCTACCTTGGAAATGTGAACCTCTTCAGACCATTTATGGCATTTGAGATATAGGCCCCAGTTAGCACATGGTGTGCATAAGGCTGGAAACAAGTAGGCATGATAGGAGCTCATTGCAATTATTCTGACCAGAGATGTTGGTGGCTCAGAAAAAGACACTGGAGGTAGACAGAAGTGGTTAGGTTCTGGATCTAGTCTGCAGATAGGCCAGCAGGATTTATTGAGGCATTGGGTATAAGGTGTGAGAGAAGATAATGAGAATGACTTCAAGGTTTTTATCCTGACAACTCAAAAGTTGGAGCTGTCTTTAACTGAGTTGTGATGGTTAATTTTATGTGTCAACTTGACTGGGCTAAGGGATGCCCTATGAACTGGTATGACATTATTTCTGGATGTTTCTGTGAGGGCATTTCCTGAAGAGATTAGCATTTGAATTAGAAGTCAGAAGAAATCAAATGTATTCTCATTAGCGTGGGCTGGCATTATCCATCTGTAGATGGCCTGAAGAGAAAAAACAGTAGAGGAAGGATGAAATTTCTCTCTCTGTTCTTGAGCTGGGACATCCATTTTCTCTTGTCCTTGGATATCAGCTCTCCTGGTTCTAGGGCCTTTGGGCTCTGGGACTTACATCAGCTGGCTGCTCCAAATGTTCTCAGGCTTTTGGCCTCAGACTGGGAGTTACACCACTGGATTCCCTATTTTTCAGGACTTTGGACTAGGACTGAATTACATCAGTGACTTTCCTATTTCTCCATCTTGCAGACGGCAGATGATAGCATATCTCAGCCTCCATAATTACATGAGCCAATTCCCATCATAAATCTTCTCTTATACATATTGGCTCTGTTTCTCTGTTGAATCCTGACTAATACATGAGCAGAGGAATATTATAGTGGCACAGGTTGAGCAGTGGTTCTCAACCTTCTGGCCCTTTAAATACAGTTCCTCATGTTGTGACCCAACCATAAAATTATTTTCGTTGCTACTTCATAACTGTAATGTTGCTACTGTTACGAATCATAATATAAATATATATGCAGGAGTACAGTTGTTATGCTATTGTTACTTATGACTTGGTTTGCCATACATTGTATGTAACATTGGTGTGTTGGTCTAATGTCTGATGAGTATATCTTCAATGATCCAGATTTTTTACATAGGGTTCTGTGATCACTCTAGATCAGTGGTTCTCAACCTTCTGGCCCTTTAAATACAGTTCCTCATGTTGTGACCCAACCATAAAATTATTTTCGTTGCTACTTCATAACTGTAATGTTGCTACTGTTACGAATCATAATATAAATATCTGATATGCAGGATGGTCTTAGGCGACCCCTGTGAAAGGGTTGTTCGACCACCAAAGGGTTCGCGACCCACAGGTTGAGAATCGCTGGGTTAGAGGGATATCAGGAGCTTAGTTTTAGATATGGTAGGTCTGTTAGTCATTCAGTTGGAGATGTTAAATAAGCAGCTGGATACACATAAGTCTATTCCTCTAGGTATCGCTTGACATATTGTTTATGGACTGTAATTGTTTAGCTCCTTCCTCTAGAATTCAAGCTCCATAAGAGCAGGAACTTCGCCTGTTATGTTCACTGCTATATCTCCAGTTCCTAGAAAAATTCCTGGGGCATAGCAGATGCTCAGCAAAATTTACTAGAAAGGTGAATGAAGAAATGAATGAGGTTGTTATGTGTTCAGCACAACAGTTAGGAAGTATGTGTTTGAAAGTGAAATTGCTTGACTGGCTGTTACTAGGGAGAGGTTTACAATAGGCATTGTCTAGCAAACATTTTCTCTGAAGAACTATGTAAAAATGAAGAGACACTTGCAAGGCTTCTGTAAACTTTATTTTATACTTACAGGCCACTGCCAATGCAGGGCCTTGGCTTTTGGCTCATTTCTACAGTTTTACTTGGAAAGATGTGGTAAAAGTAGAAACTGGAAATATTCCTACTAGTAAACCACAGTTACTTACCAGTCCATAAACAAAATGTCCATTGAAGCCTGTGTGGTTATTAGGAAAGCTATGACTTTCTGAACTTATAAAATGCATTATTCATATGCAAGAGAGAAAGTATCTTAAACAAAAAAATAGTTGTTTAAACAAAATGGTGTGAGTTTATGGCTTACATTATGGGTATATATCAGTGCATGGTATGTACCAGCGGAATAATGGAATTCGACTGCTTACACATCAAAAAGCCCTGCAATGGGGTCCATTGGAACCTGATATCATTTTATACGTGACGGTGCTAAAACACAGCCCAACAAATTATTAGCTAATTTATCATCAGGAATATGTTTGGTGTACTCTGATATATTCATTAGATTACTTGTCAACCTTATCACTGAGTTTAGTTGAGGATTAAGACAATATAATTACTCATAGTTTAATGACATTTGCTCCAACAACCCCAAATATTGTTTTATCAAACCAGCCAATCAGCCAACCAACCAAGCAAATAAAACCCTATTGTTAACTCATGACTCATCCCCTTTCATGCTGCCTCCCATATTCCACTTGTAACAGTGACATAGTCACATGCTTTATGAACACAGGTTAAAACTGACTGAGGCCGACTGTCATAATAAACAACCACCTAGATTCCAGTCCAAGTGTGTGCTTTGGCACAGCTACAAGGCATCATTATTAGATTACATACGTCCATACAAAACATCACACACATGCATGTATCACACACACAAATATATTCCATAGAGATAATAACAGAAAAATTGGCTAAAAGATATGTACAGTTGTATATATATATATATACACACACATGCTAAAAGATTTTCTGCTCTACTCACAGTCTGTAAACATCTTGGAAAATACCCAGCAAAAGTCACTGTGGGCCCTTTCAAATGGTGACCATGTGAGTTGTGGGAGAGGGGGAGGTGTTTAAGTTCACACTGGAAACCCAGAGAAGTGAGGAAGCATAGTTCATGGTGGCCTTTGGGGTGATTATATTCACTGACATGATAAACTCAGCCAGCCACTTTGAAATTATGTTTCCTCTATGGAAAAGGGAATGATCAAAAAAAGTCTTTCTGCCAGTTAACATTTAAAACAAGAGAATATGAGGTGATATGTAAACTATATATACATACACACATATATGCATATATGTACATATATATGTATGCATATACATAAATATACATGTTACTATTACTAAAAAACCTCAGTGAAAATTTCCAAATCTTCTAAAAATATTTAATTCTATTCTCCTAGGTTTAGACTTCTATGCATTGAACTGAAAGTCTTGGGTATAGTTAAACGACACGTACCTTTACATTTTGGTATATGATATTGATTGTACATAAAAGACATTAAAAATAGATTGGGCTTATGAAAAATAGAACTATTTGATTCAAGCATTATTTTATTAAAATTTAAGATGAAAAAATGTTCAGGATCTCCTGTAATGAAACACCATAAAAAAAATAGGTTCTTAAAAATTCTTTGAATAGCAGCTATTAAACTGCCATGTGTGGTTATCAATTTGTGCTTTAGTTCTGTATTTGTTGCAGCTTGAAAATTTATGTTAAAAAAAACACACCACAGTGGCATGAGGAACAACCTAATTTTTCACTAAATTGTTTTACTTTTTTTTTTTTTTACAAAATGAACTCAAATAATTATTTTTAGGCTGCTATGCAGTTAAAAAATACTGGCACTGAATGACATTTCAAAATAAAGGTGACTTATGCCCATACCGTGTTTGCAAAAAAAAAACCCATTTAAAAAATATCTCTATTTTATAACCTCCAAACTTTCATGGTGACCAGTTCTCATTAAACATTTGACAGAACAGCCGTGAAAGCTAGTCATGCACGTGAAAACGATTTTCATGCAAAAGTAGTAAATATCCTTCTGGTTTCATTTAACAGTCTCCCTATCCCCTGCCAACTCTCACCGTTTTTTAGTGTTGAATATAACATACCAGAATACGTAAATTAGATAAATTAAAAAAGTAAGAGTCATTGAATTTGTGGGCATGAAACAGTCCACCCTCTCATGTTTTGCAAAGCATTTTCCGGGCGTGGGTCTGAGTCATGAGAGAAGAGACTTCTGGAGACATAGTTGCTGTGTTTTTTTTCTCTAATAAGGTTTGAAGGAATATTGATTAATGTTTCTTAAGCTGTTCAGTTTATACTATCCTTGTGGCTACTCCTCTCTGTGTTGTGGTTGTTTTGTTCGTGGTTCTTCCACTGGATGCTGGTTCCATTCATAGGGACTGAGGTCATCAGACTTTTGGACTGGTAACAGCAGCAGCAGAGGCAAGACTGGGAGAAGAAACAGATGCTAAATGACATGACATGTGTTACGTTCCCACCAACAAGGGGTAAATGTCCACATACATTTGAGGACAGAACCTTAACAGTAATCTAGGGTATGGAGTCTGTAAACCCTAGGTAAAAGCTAAATTGTCCATTCTTGTGCAGCGAAATATATCCCTTGTTTCTTGTTTAAATTCTAAGTCAAAGAGGGAAGCAGTTTTGGCCAGAGGAAGAGTGCTCTATGACTTGGGGTGGGCATAAGTGGGGGATTAGGAGGGGAACCTAGCATTTCTTCAGTGTGCACCACTGGTGTGGCTCTCTGCATTGTGTACCTCATCTGATGCTCACAGCACTAGGTGGTAGTTGCTAATTTCCTACCAAGTTGTATGAAACTACCAGGTTTCATCTATTTGTATAATTCTCCTTTTAGATTGTAAGATCCACGAGGGCAGTCACTGTGTTTTTTCTTTTCCACTTTATCCCAAATAATAATAAACTCATACTTAGCACTTATTATTCGTTTTAAGCACTTAACATATAGTATTAACCCACTGAATCCTACTTATGAGATAGATATTGTGATTGTCTGATTTTACAGACCAGCAAATGAAGGAAGCAGGAAGGGCACCACCCAGACCTGGGTTTGTCAGTAAGTGCAGAGCTGTGATGCAAATCAAGATTGTTTGCTTCCTGAGCCTGCACCCTTGACCTCTATGCTACTCTTCCTAATATGTGCCATGAACTAACATCCTGGCTAGAGATAACAGAATCCAATTTGGATTAATTCTATGTTAAATCATTCCAGGAACTGTGCTTGGAGCTTCTGGAGGACATGGGTTGATTTAGCTACAAGAAGGTTTGAAGAACAGAAGGAAACTGATTTCAAATGCAATTACATTAATTCAGATTTCCAGAGCAATAAGTATTTACTTGTCTTAAAGAGGCTATTATTAAATATACTATTAAGTAGTATTTAGAAAGAGCTTTCTTTTTAAAAAATATATTTTATTGATTTTTTACAGAGAGGAAGGGAGAGCGATAGAGAATTAGAAACATCGCCTCCTGCACACCCCCCACTGGGGATGTGCTTGCAGCCAAGGTACATGCCTTTGACTGGAATTGAACATGGGACTCTTCAGTCTGCAGGCTGACGCTCTATCCACTGAGCCAAACCAGTTAGGGCAGAAAGAGCTTTCTTAACAATAGAGTTTATGTTTTGCTGAGACTGTTGTTAAATCCTAAAAAAAAATATAAGGAAGGAATAGGATTTATGTATTCTATATGGCCTGCAGTTCACATTTGAGCCTTTCTTTTTAAAGGAGGGTTCTAAATTGACATGTTATTAAGTTAGTTATTTTTAACTTTAATCTCTGAATATGTTGTTGTCTGAATAGATATTGCTTTTCTTTTATGCTGACAATCTAACCATCTTTCTGGTAAAAATATGATTTTCACTTCTCTACTGAAAAGTATAGCTGATGAAAATAATATTTACAATTGGAATTAGCCATACCTGTTGGCTACTTAATATACTTATTTGGTTTTCCTTAAAAATACTTGCAAAACAGTCTTACCTGAAAACAATTTTTAAATTTCTTGCTCACAAAATATAGAGCTATTGGGTTTATACATGAATTCATAGTTGCCAAGTTAATGCCGATATAATCCATGAGCAGCAAGAAACTAGAGCAAAAGAAAATAGTAGAATAATTAGCACATAATGTTTTCAAAACTGCAAACTAGCATTTATCCCTAGAATAAGCATTTTTCTTGCCCAGAAGCCATTTCTCACAGGTAGCAGTCAGAATTTTTTTAAAGTCCTTGTTTAAATGGCACTCTCAGTTCTGCAGAACATTTACCTGCCACTTGGTTAGCTCAGACTATTATGCACAGCCTCAGGAGGGGAGCAGCAAGATTATAGACATGGCTTGCACAAATTTTGGGATCAGTTATGAGTTACGTCAGCTAAAGAAGAAATAATCAACTTTGCAGTTTTAATTTCCAGGGCTAATGAGAATGTAGACTAGATGGTTTTGTAAAAGTATCATAAATGTGAAAATCAGAGAAACTCCAATTTCCTAATGGGTACATAGGATCATACCTAAGTAATTCACAGCGGTTCTTGTCCATCTGATCATACACGGTTTTCTTCAAAATACGGCTTAAATGAAGAGGGAACCAGCAAAGAGCAAAAATTACAACCAAGCAGAAAACTGTTTTTGCCACTTCTCGACGCTAAAGGAAAGTGAGAGAAAAAGTACAGTAAATTCATTGTTTTTCGGCTAGATAAAAGAACTATATAATAAGGAAGTAGTTGAGAGCAGAGAAAGAATAGCTCAAAGAGGAGCCAGGACAGCCTGCCTCACAGTACTTCTACCCCTTTAAGATTTAGAATCCAACTTCAATAAGGATTTGCTACTGATTTTTTTGGGCAACTGCCAGGAAGGACGGTGGCTTCAGGTTGGTTATTAGGACCAGGGCAGAGGTTCTATGGCAGGGGGTGGTGGGAAATGGCTGGAGTAAAGCCAACACTGTGGGTGCGCCTGAGTGTGTGTGTGTGTGTGTGTGTGTGTGTGTGTGTGTGTGTGTATGTGGCAAATATATGGGGAAAAGCATTATCTAAAAGCATTAATAACAGGTAACTAGCTAGCATTAATTGCAGCATAACAGTCAAAGTGACTGAACTCACCATGTTATAGAATGGACAAATCTACAAAGATGTTTAGAAAATAAAATAGGAATAGGAAATAGAAAAGAAAAAGCAACAGCAGCCTGGACAGTGGTGCTCAGTGGTTGAGTGTCAACCTATAAACCAGGAAGTCATGGTTTGATTCCCGGTCAGGGCACGTGCCTGGGTTGCAGACTAGTCCCCAGTAGGGGTTGTGCAGGAGGCAGCTGATCAGTGATTCTCTGTCATCATTGATGTTTCTATCCCTCTCTCCTTTTCCCTTCCTCTCTAAAATCAATAAAAATATATTTAAAAAAACAACAATAATCATCAACACAGCAATATGTTTTCTCCATTTCTTGATCTTTAAGAAAGCTAGCATTGGGATATTTTTGCTTTAAAAATATTTTATTAATGATATATTTACCAAAGATATATTGTTTGCAAACATAGGGATGAGGGTAAAGGATTATCAGCAATGATGATGAGAAAACGTGGGACATGCTGACCCTGGAGTGACTTTAGTTGATGGTTTACATACTTTCAAGTCTGCACAGGATCAGGAAAATCATAGGTTAGGGATTAGCAGCAACCAGTCTTTTGTGTGCATTATGCTTGCGTATTATAGTGCATGCATTTAGAAGGCTAACTAGGAACATAAAATGTAACTTGTCTGTAACTGGGATCAGTTAATGTCAAAATAAAACAGATTGAAAACAGGGTTTGGAAGAGTAATGCTGGTTCAACCAAGAGCATATAGCATTAAGTATAGGAAGCCTAGAGCAAACCCACATGATTAATGGAGTCATTTAAAAAGATTTGGGGGCAGTTATCACAAATTTCGACTCTAATTCAAAGAACTGAGAGTTCTTTAATCTTTTTGGAGCTATTGGGCTAGCTGGGATATACTTCAGAGAACACATAAACCGAGCAATAATTGAGAGAAATAAAGGATTCCAATCTGCAGGAATGGGAGATCATTTTAAAGGATCATTTTGTGTAAACAGAAAGACAGTGTGCCAAGAAAAATAAAAAAGTAAAGTATTAGGGGGAGGTTATCTCCTCTGAGTTCATCATCAAAGAGGATAACCCTTTTAAAAGGTAATATTAATACATTGCCATTACAGTCTGCTATTTGCTTACCCAATATTCATCCTCCTATTTTCCCTGCTATCAATCAGATTCTTGGTTTTGTTATAGCAGCGTGGGAGCCTGGGCCTAATTATCTGCATGGCTACCTGGCAGTTCTGACCAATTAGATTAAGTAGAAATTGTGTGAGGTTTCTGTAAAGCTACTTAAAAGTGGGGGATACTCCTTTGATGCTCATACACTCATGTGATCTATGTTCTTCCCCTCTTTTTGCCTGGAAATCAGATATAAGGGTAGAGCTGTAGTTGCTGTCTTGTGATAATGAAAGGTCAGCAAAACAGCAGACACCTGCCTGTGAGTCCCTTTACCACTGAATCAATGACATCTGAACTTTTTGCTGTGGGAGAAAGATAAACCCCTCCTTGGTCTACTCAATGTTATTTTGTTTTGTTTTGTTTTTGCTACCAGCATCCAAACACAATCCCTAACTGATCAAATTGTTGTCAGCATAATGAAGAGAAACTTGAGAAACATACAAGAAGCAAGACCAAGAGCCCAATAGGCTAGCAGTTGGAAGACTGACAGGGCTTTTCACTCTGAGCCAGCTTCCCCATAGTCCTACTTGAAGGCCTTCCAGCCAGGCTTGCTCTTCTGCTCTTAGAACGTGCTACAGCTTTGAGTGGGACACAAAGGAATGTCTACTGCATAAGGACCAAGTCTTGGATTTTAATTTCCATTTGGTTGAGCCACTCTCTTAATCAATCAGATTCTTGGTTTTCTTATAGCAGCGTGGGAGCCTGGCCTAACCATCTGCGTGATAAGGATAATGCCTGCCTTGTCTATCTCACAGCATGCTTGGATGAATCAAATAGGAAGATAACATGGAAATGCTTTACAAAACTTTAAAAATGCTGTGTAAATGTGAAGTATCATCATATTATTATTGTTTCCAATCCCTATTGAATTATTTTCAGAGCAAATACCACTTATAGCTTAAACAGGCTCAATCATGGTGCTGATACAAAAATCAACATTTAAAACACTGTTTTTCACACATCTATTCTAATTAATTATTTCCATTGCAGGAGTGAGAGGTAATAATTGCTTAATATGTTTCACATTGGGAATACTTGAAACTTTCATGCTTGAACAATGTCATACTAAAGTTTCTCAATATAATTTTCCTGTTAAATTTCAATAGGAGGTAATAGCTACCATTTGTATGGCATGTTAGATTTTTACAAAGTATGTGTATGCATATTATTTCCTTTGATTCCTATAATAACATTGATTTATATGATATCATGCCCAGTTTACAGACAAGGAGCTGAAGCTCAGAAAAATTAGTAAAGTAGTTGAAAAGAGCTGCTGCTGAAAAATGATGCTTGTGTATTGTAATTATATAGGGTGGATTTACAGGCTCCATCTGAAACTCACATTAAAATTTGCTGTGGTGGGGTGTCCTTCTCTGCTGAGATTTAGAACTTACTTACAGTCCTAGTTTTACTCTTTGAAAAGTATCTATGAACTTTTTCTGGGTACTTACTATGAGTTGGATTCTATTAGATACCTTACATGCATTAGGTAACCCCCTTGACGTATTTTATATCTATATATATATTTTAAATTTTTATTGAT